ATTCCCCACATTGGTGTGATAGGTTAACTTTATATTGCCAATTATTAATGATCCGCCTCAATTGTAAACAAATAATGAAATCGGATGATAGTTCGAATCGAAGAATTTATCTATACGGATCTAATAATAGGAGTTTCAATATTGATTTTAGATAAAATAAGTGACATATTTATTTCACCAAAACAAGTAGCGTATAAATCCTTTTTTTTAAAAAAAATATACTGTACTTATTTACATAATCACTTACCAGTAGATATTTATCAAAAAAAAAAAGTCAATTTTTTTACTGGATGTGTCTATTTAATTTTTTGATTCAGAATTTTAAAGCAGAAAATAGGACTTTTTTAACTCCTACTCATTTTCGAATAGGTTAATTCTAAAACTCCCTAATAGAAAAAATCTATAACAATCGAATATTAATTAAAATAAATTATAGATTAATACTGTAACCATACACCCATGTTTTGTTTTCCTTATAAAATAAATTATAAATTAATACTGTAACTACACCCCATATTTCGTTTTCCTTATTTTGTTCATTTTTTTTATTTTCTTTATACTGTATTCCTTACATTCCTGATCCAAGGGATATTATAGATGTTAATTTGTAATAATAAGAAATAAATTAAAATTTTGTTATTACCGGGCATGAGTATATTATTTATATAAGCTAATCGTCTATTTTTTTATCGCTTTGCTTTGTACAATATCCGATTCTAATCATTCTGTTAAGAAAATAGATGAGATTATAAAAAAAGTCACAAGAACAAAAGTGATGTTTATGATACAAAATAATTGTTAAGATTACCTATTTTTTTCTTTATTTATAATCTTAATTTCAAAGTAAAATATCTCACACTCTGAAGGGATTGGTCAAACTATAGCAGCTTTATAATCATTGGGATCTTTAATTAAAAAGGTTTTTTAATAAATTAAAAAGCTATGATAATATTCTTTAAACTATCAGTGCTTATTAAATATGTTTCTGCGAAATTTCTCGTTTTTATCTTACCCGTATAATTCACTTTAAGTCCACTTGAATCTATGTCAATAAATGGTGATTGATTTATCTTCAATATCTCATGCATATATTTATTTTGCAAGATAAGTAAAGCCCAAATACTAACATTGGTGGTTTTGGGGAATGAATAGTGAGGCATTTACAACCTCTGGAGAAATTGTTGAAAGGATAGTAGACAGTTTGAATACAGGAGTTAATGCTCGGCTTGGATTTAGCCCTTTAGTATCGAATTCAACCGTTAAAGTTAATATAATGATAATGATATGATGAAAATGGTCAAGCAAACTCAAAGATTGGTGCAGCTTACGTTTCAGGACTGTTTGGATGAGATGTCAATTTGTTCTAGTGTAGGAAAAAGGATTCTTTTGAATCATCAAGCTGGAATTTGATCTATTCTTCAACCATAATTTCTAGACAAAATAAATCGAGAACCTTAAGAAATCTTTAGAGTACATCTGCATTAAAAAATAACCTCTATAGTTCATAACCAACAGTTGATCCGATTTTATGTAGCTTACCAAACTTCGCTCTATACATCGTTTAACATAATTGTTGCAGTTGCTAAAAATATTCTCTAAAAAATAAAATTATGAAAATTCATGCATATATACTATGATAATATTTGCTCTATTACACGATTCTATTTTAAAAAGAAATGATTATATTCCCTAATACTCTAATATAACAATTTTAATGATTTTGGTAATAGTAAATGCCTTATGTTTATTATTTTCAATGCCAATATATTGCCAAGATTATATATGTTCTAATAACGTGCCGCACCTCAGCAAAGTTTTTTCAACACTAATTCTATTGTTATAGCAATGGGAAATATTATTTGATCTAATTACCTTACTATCTTATTGCTAATTGCTTTTAATATGAAGATGTTGAGGCCTAAAAACTAAATTAGAAGTAGAATTTTGAGTAAAATATATAGACCGATTCTTATAACAAAGAATTTCAAAAATAGCAGATTTTCTTTCTGCACCATTACCACCATCTTTCATTGTTTTTCTAAAAAAAGTAGAAACTTGGATGTGATTCTTCTTCTCAACTGCAGTACAAGAAAATACTGCAAAACTAAAACGTCTATGACGTTCCATAAATTCATATACGTGATGGACCAAGATATGTTTATATAGAGTAACGTCTTTTGGCCGATAGAGTCCCTTTTTAAAATCTCTTGTATTCAGTTCACCTTGAGAAGGAGTAAGAAATACATCAAGCCAATTTTTTGCTTGAATTGAGAAAAGACCAGGATCAAAATTTTGTTGTTTTATAGCATTATAAAGTACATAAAAATCTCTCTATAGACGATTAATTTGTGTGCCCCGTTCCTTATTAAAAATTAATTCAAAATTGAAATTACGTAATACAATTTCTTTGTCATCTCCCATTAAGGGGGTGTTATTCCAACTTTGTGTATTATGGTCTTGCCAAAAATGAAATTTAACAGAAATTCTTTGCATTTCTAAACTAATGATTGCTCTAATATTATCATCGTATCTATTTTCAGATTTAAGCTCTTGAATTACTAATGACCACATATGATCCCAAATCCTTAGCATTATATGAAGCAGATCAGGCACATAATGTTCTAAGGGAATCATATAAAGAAGAGGCGCTTTAGAATGACCAGGTAGCGGTTTTGTAGTTTGAATCTTGTCCTTAATACCAATTTCCTTTTTCGAGCACAGGCATCAAGGGCAAAAATAATTCGCATTTGCCGCATTAAAGCCCAAAATTATACTCAAAAACTTCCAATCACTACTGAAATATGGAATGATTTTCCATCGTGTTCTACTAGAGGCTAATCTATTTGCCACTAGATTATGTAATTCATTGATCATCAGCTCTATTACTTTTTGTAGTATTTCATAGTTTTCGTTACCAGGATATAAAATTACTGTATAGTGAAATTCAGCTCTATGAATATTTAAGATGTCGTCTAAGATAGCATATGTAATCATCACGTTTTTTATTTTTCTGCTGACATTGCGCCCATCACCTGAAATATGGATGTGAATGACTGGGTTGTTTATATTAAGAATGTTCCGGTCTACAAGATCTGGAATAATGAAAAGCAAAATGTCTGTGATTCTCCTATATCTCGCTTTTCCAACATATTTTAACATTTCTTCTTCAACTTCCTCATCATCAATATGCGATATTTCATTAGTTGCTGTGATAGAAATATTCTTAAGATCTAAAATAAAAATTGGAATCTTTTCATTCATTTTTTCATTTATTTTTTTTCTAGCATTTGAAATATTATGTTCTCGTGGCAAATCAGGTTCAAGTGCAGATAGTTCCCGGTAGATGTCTTAAGAAATTAAATTTTAATCAATGACTTTTACAAATGCATTAATATACTGATCTTCATTTTCTTTACAATAATCAACCAAGTAATTCTTGCCTTGAACGTTAAATCGAATTTCTTGCAAAACTGGATGATCATCTGAATTATAAAATTTGAAAGACTCCTTTTCAAAGG